CAATGTTATTATTTCAATTCTTCTTTCCTTTAATCAAGATAAGGGAGCTTAGTTGCAGAGAGACATGATATTTTGTAATGAAAATCTTCCAAGCAAAGTTGCCTGATCCTCTGGAATTTTTAGAAAAATGTTTCATTCTCTGCCAGTTAATGGATTTGGAAACCCAGAGCTGGAACTGCTGACAATTTGTTCTCCTTTTCACTACTGAATTGAATTTTCCTTTAGCAGATTTCTGAAGTGTTACCTCTCCAGATCATTCTTTTCTAGCTGACATTCACAAAAGTTTTTTTTTAGCCAGCAGGAAATTTGGAGCTGGGCTTTTTTAGCGGGGCTGGAGGGAGACTTCCTTAGGTGGCCGGAAAACTGGAAGGGATTTTTTGGATGGAGCCGTGGATGGAGGCTGCAGGTGGCGGCCGCTCACCTGGGGGGGCAGCGCCCCCCGGTCCCGGTGCCGGGAACGCCCCGCTGCTCCCGGGGAAAAACTCCCGAGAAATTGGGACTGGGAAGCCGATTCCTCCCCCATCACCAGAGTCACTCCAGGGCACCAGCTTCCCTTCCACCGCCCAGCTGCCAGCACACGGAGGGCACCGTTTTTATGCGTTTTATCCTTTGATTTCTGAGCTCAAAACTGGGAGTAAGGGTGAGTGTGGATGTGTAAGATCCTGGTTTTGCTGCTCTGGTGGTAGCAAATTTCTCAGCTGCTATGCTCATGTCAAAATTATTCCAATAATAAAGGAACAATATACTCATCCTCTCCATCTTATATCCATATTTCTCTGAACATCTCATTCAGTCACTTCCTTGGAGTCTCTTCCAGAGACCTCTGATATTTCAAACAGGGTTAAGCATTCCCCATGAGCTGGGTTCCATAAAGATCCTAATTTAGGAAACTGAACTCTGAGGCTTCATAGCAGACCTCTCAAATTTACATTAGAATGGAACCAAGAATTAAGCCCATGTGGGCTCTGAGGCATAGACACACTTGTCTGACTTTACATCTTCTAACTGAAAACATAATTTGTAGTATATTTTTATATATATTTATGCATATACTTATGTTTAGGATGCACTGATGTACAGATGAAAAGGCTCAGAAATACAGGTTTGTGTACAGTTTCAGGATTTACAGGTTCAGCAGAACAAATTATTTCTTTTTTTAAGGGCATTGATATGCATTTTTAAAAAAAAGTTAAAAGTCTTGGTCACATACCAGTATTGTCAGTTGTCAGAGGTATTTTTTATTTATATCAACAACCTGATTCAGAAATGACTGTATTGCTAATGTTTGTCCTATTCAACAGGTCTGAGAGTAGACAGATCAGTACAAGTAGATAAAGAGAGTTTTAGAGAACTGCTGCTGTCTCAGCACCAGGAAACAGAAAAAAATCCAGTCCAGCTAAAAAAGGTGGGAAAGATCTGGATCCAAATCCAGCCCCCTGTTTAAACTCTCAGCTAAGCTGTATCTTATTCCCTAAGTTGCAGTAATGCCTGGATAGCCTGATCCATCATCTAGGATGGGGATTTTGCATGAGTGTGATTACAGTACAGAAATAATGCTGTGATGCAAAATATAATGTAACAGCAATAGAAATCACTAATCTTTTTGTAAGTATTACACTGATTGTGTTCTTTTAAAAGTCACTAAACAAGCATTCCCTCATTATTTTTACCTTTAATTGCCAATTGTAGGAGAACAGAGAAGATAACGATGGAGAAGGTAATGCAAAGGAAGTGTGCTCAGATGCTCAGGGTAAAAAAGAAAAGCCAGCAAACAAGAAAGTGCCAGAAACTTCAGACAGCACACACAGAGGTAGGTTTAATGTTTCTCTCAGAAATTCACCTGGTCTTTGCAAATTACCAGAAATCCTGGTAATTTATGTGGTTCTGGCAGCCCTTCACTGGCACCTGGCTGAAATGAAGTGTCACTGAAAACACAGAATCATCTGGGTTGGAAAATGCTGGTGGTGCTGCACTGACAGCAGAGCTGCTCTGCAGGATGTGGCATCCCCACCCTGCTGTTCTTCCCAAGGCTCAGGGTGGTAAAAATTCAGTGTTCTGTCTGTAACAGAGTAATGAACAGTGTTAATCCACACTAATCAAACACTGATCCCAAAGCTGGGAATCTTCATCACTGATGTGAACCTATTTCCATGGCTGGAAAAGGGCTGGGAGCAGTTCCTCATCAGTGATACCTGAAAAGAGATTTTGTGGAAATCTCAGCCACTGTGTTCTCATGGAAAAGTTACATGCAAGGGACTCATCTGTAATCATCTTTATTCTGAACAAATTCTATAGAACAGAGGAGAGAAAAAGCCCCTGCTGTTCCCTCATTCACATTTTTCTTTCTAGAAACATTCCTGTTATTTCCTTTAAGGCTTTTAGGAAAAGAAAAGATCTGAGTGCCACCATTCTAAACATGTCACAAGTGACAGGAGACCTCCAGGTCACACATTTGCCCAGGTGGAACAGGTGATGCCAGGTCACATCCCTGTAACCTGGCATGTGCTAACTCCTGAGGTTTGTACTCTGCCTTTTCAGCCTGCAGCCTTTCCGAGTGCCCCAGACAACCAAAGTCAGCATTTGTCTTTAAAATGCCCTCTTAAAAATGATAGAAAACACAAGTCTTACAATGCTCCCTCTGAAAAATCTGTGAAATCTGAGTTTCTCTCACTGATAGCAGACTTTTATTGAAGCCTTACTTGGCTTTTTAAGTTCCCACAACTGCTTATTTCTCCTTTAAGCTTGGATTATGTCTCATTTTGCTGGTACTCTGTGAGTCTCTGCAGAGTGCAGGACCATTAAAAGTTGTCCCCTGCACAGTAAATGGCATTTCTGCACACATGTTCCTTTTCCTGCTGAAAAGTGGAGCCCCCTCATTCCCAGGTGAGAGAGTTGCTGTATATTCTGCTCTACACAAGCAACTCTGTTGTGAATTAAGGGAAAGGAAATCCTGCATATCTCTAAGTTCCACTTAAAAGCCAGAATGTGACAACTTAGAGCTCAGATCTCACCTGGTTTCTCTGTTGCATTGTACATGATTTTTCTGGCACTGTATTTAGCTATTACTGTACATAATGGCAGCTAAATCCATTTAACTAAATTCAACACCATGAAAAAAAGTAAAAATAAAGATATGAGCCTGGATTCAGTAGTAGAATGATGTCATTTAAATCTTGCCCCATGCTGTTGTATTTATTATAGATGGTATTTGAAATACCATCAATAATAAGAACTGAAGCAGTGAAATAAGGATGTCATACTTGCTCTTTTTAAAATTCCTCATGTTCTTAAACCCTACAATATTTCAGGGGACAAACTACTGATGGAAGAACACAAATTTTCAGAATTTATTAAAGAAATGGAAAAAGAGACAGAAGTTCTTAAACAGGAGTTGCAAACTCTGATGAAATCTGAACAAAATGCTCAAAGAGAAAAAGAGAACAATCAAGAGGGAGAGGCAGTGGAAGAAGTTGAAAAAGAAGAGAAAAAACCCTTTGAGCAGCAAAAGAAGAAAGCCAGGAGTGAAGGTCCAAGTCCAAGCAAAGACCCCACTAGGCTGAAAAAGAAATACATCATCTCAGAAGCCACTGAGAATTTGCACCAGGGGCTCCACACTTCAGGTGCCAAAGGCAAAGCAGGATTTGGAAAAAGCTGCCTGGGCAGCCAGGGACAGGCAGGGCAGAGCTGCAGTGACACTGCTGTGCCCAGGGGGAAAATCTCCTTTGGGGCTTATGAACCTTCCTTTGGGCAAACCCCCCTGGGCTGGCAGGACAGTGCCTCTACAGTGGAACAAACACTTGATGAAGGAGCTCTGTGGGGAGGAATGTTTGCAAGGAGACAACTCCTGGAGTTCCAGCAGCACAAGGGTGAAGGCAGACAAGTGAGGGGTGCAAGGCAAATCCCAAACTCCATGCCAGGGTCCAGCTCTCCTCGTTAGAACCAGCTCCTGAGTTACTCCACAATTAGTCCTGGTGGTTAAGAACATCAGCTTGTCTTTAGAAAGTTTAAACATTCACATGGTTACAAACCAAATGTTTTCCTTCCATTAAATGTTTGTTAAATCTTACAAGCACTGGCAATTGCTTTCCATGATTTTTTCCAAAACAATCCAATCAGTTGTCACAAAAAACACATTCTGTGCTTGGTGTGTTTCCACAAAAATGTGTTGGATTAAGAATTCCTTATCATTTTTACCTGTTACCAGGTAGAAGTTAGTCCTTGTTTAGGAACTTCCAGGTTTTTGCATTCACAAGGAGCTGGAATTTGGAAGCTGGGTGGTTGTCATGAGCACCCAGCTTTCATAAGGTTCACTGCTGGGTGAGGACCAACAATGCAACAAAAGAAAACACTTTTTCAGCTCCTTCACTCCCCAAACAGCTTCCAGAATTCACAGATAATAAAAATAATTTGCTCCTACGTTGTTTTCACGAGCATTAGAAACCTCTAAAGCCTCATTCTTTCCCACTGTTGGAACTTATCAAAGCAGTTTGCCTGGTAACTTCCCCAGCTGACATCCAGAGATCAATGTGCAAGAGGAAAGCATTGTTTTGGAGAAGTCAGGCATGGCCAGTCCCCAAAAAGCCTCTAAAAATCCTTGTTTAAGGTTATGTAAGCGACGGGAGGAGGATTGTGTTTTGTTCCTCACACTAATTTATTAAATACTTGCTTAATTCGTGTGAAGTTTGGAAAAATTAGGGGCATTCTCTTAATTTTTAAAGGCAGTAGAAGTTTAAAAAATGTCAAAAATTACACTACAAAAGCTTTTAAAGATGATAAAGACATTCAGAGCTAAACCTGTTGACATTTCAAATAATTTAAAAAAGAAATTGGTTGAGTTGATTCAAACAGTATTTCCTTATGCACAAACTCGGGGGCTGTTGTTTTGGTGTGGATTTTGGTGAGTTTGGGGTTTGTTTTGCCATTTTGGGTTTGTTTGGGGTTTTTGTGGGTTGTTTAACAAAATTGCAGTTAACATTAAAAAAGAGATGAAAAAACCTAAGCTGGGTTGAAAAGCTTTATTTCCTTAATAAAATCACAATTATACATAACATTCAATCACAACATTTTTTCCTTGATATTTACTTTCATGTAGGCTAAATGCAATTCCTAATACAAAAATCCCAATTTTTAAATTAACATTGAAACAAATAAACAAACAAAAAAAATATTTAATTCATATATATATATACACAACATAACCTGACATTTTGAGCTGGTTTTTAAAGGCAGTGCCAATTTTGGAGGGGACTGGACCCTTCCTTCCTTCCAGGGAGGAAAAGGCCCTGGAACAGCAGAAGAGATCATTGCTCTGGGAATTCCAGAGTGGGAAGCTAAATCAGCATCCCCCTGCAGCAACAGCACTGTCTTCTGCTTCATTGAATAAACCTCTTAGGAGATAAAAATCTTGATTTAATTCATCTATTTTTTTAGGAGAGCTCAAGAATATTCCAATTTTAGGGTAAAAAAACCACAAGAAAACTCCTTTTCCCCAAGCCAAGCAAACAACCTCTCTCTGCCCTCTGCACCATGGTCCCATCTCTTACAGCAAAGAAACAGCCAAGCTCCCAAATGAATTCCTAAAGCCAGCACATTTCCAATTTAAAACCACAAATCCAACACTTTTACATGTTGGTGACAACAGGCCATGACAAAACCTTATGGTTCTGCCCTGACTAAACCCAAAATGAGGTTCTATAACCAGCAATGCTGCTCTTTCCAAAATGAAAGACAAACTCTGGGAAGTGAAATCAAAAGGATCAAAAGGACTGACAGATATCCAAATGGAATAACAAGGATTGTCTCAGACCTTGTCTCATGAAAGATAACTGTCCCCTTTTTTTTTTTAAATTAATTTAAAGCAGTGATTATGTAAATGCAGCTGGGGAGTGCATGGATTGCTGGGATTCCTTCAGCTGAAGGGGTGCAGCATGATAGCCACAACTTTATTGCAGACCACGAGCCAGCAGGTAATTCCCACACCTCCTGGAAAAGAGGGAGAAACCAAGATTGAAGTTGTTGGATCAATAGCCCTGAGGATCCTGTGCAGCTGCAAACAACCTCGGAAGTGTAAAAAATGAAACTCAGAATTCATGAGGCCTACAGGAACTAAACTCTTTATATGCAAAAGGGAGATTCAAGAGATGGGAGATAAATCAATGCTGGTCCCAAAAAATTCTGGATTGTCTTGGGAAAAGAGCACCAATATGAGCTAAAGTGGGGTGAGTGCATCCCAGAGCTAAAATTATCAGCTACAGACCCAAAAGAGAATATCTAAGTTTAAGGCCTGGCAGAATGCTTTGCTTGAACTTAAATTCAGGATTTGAGAGAGCTAAAAAGTAAATTTCTCTGAAATTGAAATCAGTTGTTTTATAAGTACATAGTTATTCATAGCACACCTGTGAAGAGAAAACTCCCTTTTGGGTGATTTTCTGATTTTCCAATTTAAACCTTCCCCAGGGTCTATTCAATACAGAGAAGGGCAATGCTCTGTTTGGGTGGAAATAAAAATTACAAAATTCCGTGTTCAAGAAACCAGAACCACACATAGAAGAGCTGCTCAAATATTTGATCCCTGTGCTCTGGGAGTCAGAGAAGCAGCTGCTGTGAATCCTGGATGCTCTGGGGCTTGGCAATGTCCTTTTCCTCACCTGCCACTCCAGTAGGGAAGGCCACCAGGCGCTCCAGGGGAGCCAACCACTTGCTGGGAAGCACGGTGACAGGCTCAGAGTAGTACTTCCAGATCAGAGAGATCATCAGGGCAGCCTGGAATGGGGATTTTTTTATTAGTTTGGATAATAACACACATCAAAGTACGGTCCCACTGCTATCTGGAATTGTTTCTTTGTTATTTTATCTTCTTCTGAATATTTTTAGATTTTATATGACCTTAAATTTATACATAATATTACCAGGTTGCAGGGAGAACTTGTTTTCTTTCAAGACCCTCTTTCCAATCCAGCAGAGTCAAAGCATTTGTTAAAATTCTGATGACCCTTTTTAGCCTGAATTTTTACCTACAAGGAGTGCAACTCACTTTAACAGTCCCCTAAGGAAATCTTCAGGCTGACCACTGCCATCCTCGTTAGCAAATTCTTTGGCATCACATCAGAACTGCTCAAACAATCTGATGAGGCACCGTGGGGAAACGTGTGGCAGCTGTAGGTGGAGATTTGCATCCTCAGCACAAGTGTATTTTGGTTTCAAAACCAGAATTATATTCACATGTAGCAGAACTTTCCTGGATTTGGGGCCATATTAAAAAAAACCCAGTGATTAAGAGAGCTAACATAAACTCCAAGCTTGTCCCCCCAAAACCAGAAACACAGAGCTGAGATGAAAGTTAAACTCCTTCCATCCTCAACTACCAGATTTTATCATCATTTCCCTTCCAGTAGCAGAAATTCTTTCTGCCTGACAAACTCTGTGTCCTTGGAATCACAGAATGGTTTGGGTTGGAAGGAATTTAAAGATCCTCCAGTGCCACCCCTGCCATGGCAGGGACACCTTCCACTGTGCCAGGCTGCTCCAGCCCCAGTGTCCAGCCTGGCCTTGGGCACTGCCAGGGATCCAGGGGCAGCCCCAGCTGCTCTGGGCACCCTGTGCCAGGGCCTGCCCACTTTCACAGGGAAGAATTTCTTCCTAATATCTGATCTAAACCTGTAATTTTTCAGTGTGAAGCCATTCCCTGTGTGCAGTCCCTGCATCCCCTGGAAATTGTCTCTCTCCAGCTTTCCTGGGGCTCCTGCAGGCCCTGCAAGGCCACCCTGAGCTCAGCCCAAAGCTTCTCCTGTGCAGGTGAACAATGCCAGCTGTGCCAGCCTTTCCTGCCAGCAGAGCTGCTCCATCCCTCTGCTCATCCTGGAGCCTCCTCTGGGCTCTCTGCAGCAGCTCCAGCTCCTCCCTGTGCTGGGGGAGCCCTGAGTGACCAGATATGGGCCAATAAACCAGGAAAGAATTGTAACACTACTGAGAATTTGGGTTAAGTTGCATCCATAACAAAATATTTACTTACCTGCAATATGTAGAATACAATGTTTATGACCCACTTTATTTTGGCTAATTGGGCAGTTCGTGCTTTCACTGTTAAAGAAAAGGAAAATATTAGGTTCCATTACCTATAATAATGAGTTATAATTACATTAAATTAGTAATTTCACTCTTTAAGGTTGGACATTACCCTGTTAAAAAATCTCTTTCCGAATAATTTACAGCTATGTTAAAAACACCCTTCTACAACAAACTGCCAGTTCTGTATCACACTGTAATTTCTACTTTGATTTACTCAAAACAGGATTCAGTGACAGGCATCACTGAGAAAGAAAAAATAATTATACAGTGAAGCCCAGGAAATTCCTGGAAAGACACAGGTAAGCTCTTCAAATAGTTTAAAGAGGGAAAAAAATAAGAAGGAGAAAGAGGAAGGAAGGAAGGAAGGAAGGAAGGAAGGAAGGAAGGAAGGAAGGAAGGAAGGAAGGAAGGAAAAATGGATGAGATGGGGAAGGCAAATTTGAAGGACAAATACTTAAAGCTGAAAACCCTCCTGACAGTTTTTCAGAACCAGAAACTGTTTTTCCTTTTGGAGCAGACATGGAACTGTACCGTGGGTTTTGAGCTTGTCAGTCATTTTGTTGATCTTCCTCTCCAGCCGGGCATATCTGGCAAACTCATCCATCATGCTGATGGTGGCAAGCTCCTGCTTCATGGTCTGGATCTCAGCTCTCATCTGGGATTCCTGCTCTGCATCCTTCTGCAACAGCCTGGATATCTGGGAAGTGAAGGAAATTATCAATTCCTGGTCCAGAATTCCACTGATTTGCTGTAGTGTGTATAAAGTATGAGCTCAAAAGCCTCCCATAAAAAAGGCCCTTTCATTGAGATGCAGGAAATCCTTGGATGACAAGAGAACAAGTGACAAGATAAGAGGAAACAGCCTCAAGCATCTTGAAGGTTTTTTCCAATTTAAATGATTCTGTGATTATTCCCATTTCCAGCTCCAGCAGCCAAGTTTTCCAACATTTTCTCCTTTCCTTTTACTTTCCTAATTTCTTTTCTTAAGGCACCACCTGCTTGTCGGTTCATGAATTCTGTTTGCCATAGAAATGCAGGCACAAAAGGACACAAAATCTTCTTCTTGCTGTTCCTTAGCAAATCTTCCAGCTTCCCCAAGACACATGTAACTTATTTCCCCATGGATGCTGCTCTCAGGCCTGCAGTCAGTGAGAGCATTAACACCATCTGCAGCCTCAAACCACAGCAGAAAGCTGAGCAGAGATCTTCAGAGAATCTTGGAATATCCTGAGTTGGAAGGACCAACAAGGAATTGAGTCCCACCCCTGTCCCTGCCCAGACCCCCCAAAATCCCACCCTGGGCATCCCTGGCCAAAGGAGCTCTGGCGGCCTCGGGGCTGTGCCCATTCCCTGGGGAGCCTGGGCAGTGCCAGCACCCTCTGGGGAAGAACCTTGTCCTAAAATCCAACCTAAATCCCCCTGGCCCAGCTCCAGCTGCTCCCTGGGTGCTGTCCCTCGGGAGGAGCTGCAGATCCCAATCTCAGCCTCCCCCAGCCTGAATGAACCAAATGCCCTCAGCCTCTCCTCACACGGCTCTTTCATCACTCATCTCTAGCAGCACTGAGTTCAGCTTCCCAAACTGCTGAGGATGATTCACGGTTTAAAGGATTTTTGTCCACTTTTGAACAGTGCACACTGATCTCTGTGCCAGTCAAGTTATTTCCACGGTCGAGCAGAGCGACAGGGATTTCAGCATCTTTGTGCACGTGAGTTTATCTGAGTTTATTTGTCCTCAATTCCATTATCCACGCTTCCACAGGAATGCTTCAGATCAGAACAGGGGCGCTCTGATCAGTGATTAAGATTATTAAGGTTTATTCCTGCAATGACTTAACTCCTTAGATCAGTGGATACGGAGATTATCTCAACAATGGCCACGTCCATCTGTTGAAAACATGCAAGAAGGACCAAAGCTGTCCTTCTATTCCCAAAACTGGGAAGCTGCGGATGCCCCATCCCTGGGGGATTTCAAGCACACACCGGACGGGGCTCTGAGCAGCCAAGCCCGATGGAAGGATCCCTGATGGCAGCAAGGGGCTTGGAATCGGATCATCCCTAAGGCTCCATCCAGCCCAAAAAAATTCCACGATGCATCCCAAGGGCTGGAGGCTCAGGAGCACCACGGAACACAGCGGTAACCCATCCCCGAGGAAGCGGGGCTGCGCTCCGCCATCTCCAGCACCAGCCTCTCCTCTGCAGGGCCGGCAGCGGCAGCGGCAGCTCCCCCGGGCCCCCCTCAGCGCCATCCTCCCGCTGCCCCCGCCCAGCGGCACCACTCACGAGGGAGGAGCAGGAGGGCAGCAGGATCCTGAGCGCGGAGCAGAGGAGCACGGCGCCGAGCACCAGCAGCCACGCGCCGCTCTCCGCCATGGGCCCGGGGGCGCGCGCGGGCACGTGAGGCGCGCGGGCCAATGGCGGGGCGGGGCGGGGCGGTG